TTCTTTTTACGTGTTTGATAGTAATAATATACTTGATAAAAATGTAGTTTTATATTGTTTATAATATTAAAAGGTTTTGAATTTATTTCCATGTTCTGATAAAATATTAAGTAACTAATTCATGTTTATATTCACAAAAAATACTTTTTACAACCATTATGGTGTTTCTTTTCAAGCAATAATTGAATAATAGTTTAACATACAACTGATTTATTTTTTCGTTTTAATTCACATATTTAATATTGGTAATAGTAGTACAATTACATCTAGTTGACTTTTTCCTTAGTATGAATATTTCAAATCTATGTCAGAAAAATATACCACAAGTTTATCTAATATTATTTTATAATTAATAAAATTAATTTAACATGGATCTATAATTATTTTATAAGATTCTTTTAGGTCTATTTATTATTTTAAATTGGTATTGGTATATATATATTATTTTACATCGATATAAATAATTATATTATTTTTATTTTATTTACAAAACATTGGTAAAATCAAATATCATGGGAAAGAAATGATTTGATATATTACATATAAAAGGGTAACCAAAAAAAAAAAAAAAAAATAAGTATTTCAAAATTAAGAAATTTAATGGTGTAAATTAACTAATTTTTTAACTAAAAAATTATGACTAACATACCGATTTCTAAGACAAAAAAATAAATATATTTTTTTATAAATGTGCATTTCAAGTATATTTTACATTTATCATTTGCTAGCTCCAATTGATATATGACATTTATTAATTTTATTTTTTTTTTATTTTATTTTTGAGTGGAATGTCAGTCATAAGCTTTCTCATTGTGTATTTTTTTTTATTTTTGAGTGGAATGTCAGTTATAAGCTTTCTCATTGTGTAGTTTTACCTTTTTATTACGTAGAACATCATCTTTACATCTTGTTTAGTATTAATATTACCTTTTCAGTAGAACATCATTCTGGCCTCTTCTTTAATTATTATAATACTAATAAAATATTTAAGGACTTTTCAACTTATATGTATTTTTTAATTACTAATTATCATAAATTAAATGATAATTACATTAAATATGTTATATTTTGTATCATTATTTACAATTTTCAAAACAATTAACTGCACACAATATTATATATAGTGCGAATTTTTTAGTTTGATTTGGAGTCATACTTTTACTACAAGAAAATGATGAAATTCCAATGAAAACATATTACAGCGAAATTTCGAGAACAATTCTAACGAATATTTCAACGTTACAATTTTCGTTTGAATTTTTCAATGAAAATTATAACAAAAATATTTTGTTGCAATCATGTGCAGATCCATGTTTGTCCAATAGTCCTGAAACTGGCATCATCCCAAAACAAATAGCATAAGATATCTAACTATTTTTATATGCAATATAATATTTATATATTATATTTAAAAAGCAAATAACAAATAAAAAATTATTTAAATTTACAATAATCAATTTACTTTTAAAAAAAATTAAAATCTCTAACCTACATAGATTAAAGTAAAAATAACTATTGTCAATAACCTAAAACTTACACCTATAATTAATAAGCACGAAAAAAGTAACAATCGTGCTCGTTTACATCGATATGTACAAGTTTTAAAAGTTTTATATTTATATTTATTAATCATAACATTTTTAGTTATTACTTCTTTCATATATATTAGTAAGTATTACAACTTAATTATATTTTTAATATTATGTATCAGATTTAATATTTTCTTACTTTATATTGTTCTTTCACACACACACACACACACACACACATATATATATATATATATATGTATATAACTTTTAAATTTGTTAAAAAAAATGCATAATACTAAGTATATAACTTTTTTTGGTCATATGTCTTATTATATCTATTATAGTTGTACATCTTTATATTATATTATGTATAATTACAATTTTCTAATTAATATTATTATCAATTATTAAAAAAAAAGATATTTTGTACATTTTTTAATAAAGTTGATTTATTGTAATAATACATATTAATAGATAGGTGAGTAATGTTACTATATCGATATAAATTCTTAGTAAATATAATTAATTTTCAACGTATATAGGCATATCATGATTCACTATATATTTTAAATTAATTTGAAGATAATGATGGATAAAAGTACAAATAACTATTGTCTATCACCTAAAACTTACACTTAGAATTAATAAGAACAAAAAATTAACAAGCGTTTAATAACACCTGAATTGCGTTAAGAAATTGAATCCACCAAAAAGTCAATATTAGCTCTCTTAATTCCTTTAATAGTGACTCAATTAAAAGTTTTATCTTTATTTTTATTAACTATAACATTTTATTGTTACTTTTTAATATTTATTAATAAGTGTTACAACTTAAACGGATTTTTAATATTATTTGTCAAATTTAATATTTTTTTTCTTTTATATTGTTATTTTATATGTTTATATATGTCATACTATTACACAAATTATTGCTTTTTATAGGTTATTTTGAAAGAAAAAAAAAAAACTGTTTCTTTACTTTATGGGTGTTATGAGGACAACATTATGGATTTCAATTTTATTACTTATAGTTATTAATAATAGATGAGTAATGGTGATATATGATATAATGATTGGTAAAAATAAATAATTTTCTGCGTATAGGCATATCACGATTCTTTAGATATCTTAATTAATTCGTAGAAAATTGTATGATCAAAATAAAAACATGCTGCTCAACTAATATCCCATTCGACATGAAAAAAATGGGACCGGGTTTTAATATTATATAATTTCATAAAATTATTCTAATCTTATTTTACGTAAAGAAATTGAGTAGATTAGAAGTTTAGGTTGCAAAATAATTTTCTCAATAAAATTATATCTCATATTATTACATAATTTATTCTTTTTTTTATATGTTATTTTGAAAAAAAAAAAATATTTATATAGTTTGTGGTCGTTATGAGGACAAACAACATCGATTTTAAATATTTTACTTATAGTTATTAATAAATTTGTAAAATTAAATAAATATTGTTGAAACAGTTATCTTATTTGATAAGATACTTACGGTTAAATAAACTCTTAAATTTTATTGAGAAAATCATAAAAGTATTTAAGAATCTTGAATAATATCAATAAATAAAATATTTTATTTATTAAATTTTAAATTATAATCGTTTATAGAGCACTCAACTTGAAAATTAATTGCTCAAATAAAATAATAATAATAATAATAGTTAAAATGTCAGGAACATTTTTATTTATAATTGAATGAAAAATTTCAAATAATTTAAGTCTTAATAATTAAAAAAATTACGCAACTTGATATTAATCACCTAATGGTCACGTGAAGATTCGTTAACTCTATTAGCTTTGCGACCAAAATTTGAAAATACAAACCACTAAACAATGACGATTTTTGTGGGATCAAAATTCAATCTAATAAAACTAAGGTGCAGTCTAATTCTAGTTCTAAATGCAAGAGTTTATTTTTCTTAAATAATGATCTAGTTAAATGAATTCTTCCATTTTTCTAGTTTGTTAGATTATGTATATATTCCACGTGGGCATGATTTCGGTAATATTTTAGGTATCTTCTCTTAATTAAAGTTATGTATGTATCTTAGAAATTATTTATTATATAAAATTCACCTCTCAACTAAGTTATCATGTTTTACCAAGATTTATCGTTTTGTTAAAAGATAGGTAAACAAATAATTGAGAATATTTAGATCTTTTATAAGTATTTATTATGTTGTTTTTGTTGCATAATTTTTTGTCTAAATAAATTTTATATATTAAAATCATTATATATGATTACGATTTTATCATCAAAATTATATTAAAAATAAGAACGTTATTCAAAACAAAAATTCAATATCATTTCAAAATTTTGTTGTTTGGGTTAATATTGAGTTGATTTTTTAGAGATATTGAAGAAAACGGTTTGGGAGATATGTGGAAGAAACCAAATTCTTGAAGAATAATGGTGTGAATATTGTGGTTGATTTTTAAGAGATGTAGAATGTTTTGTTCATTTAATTGTATTAAATGAATAAAATATTAAATGAGAATTAGTGTATTACTAATTTGAGGTTAAAAATATGTCAAATAAAGGGAATTTAGGTACATATTAGTTATTAATAAAAAAAATATAAGATGAGATATATATATTATGTTATTACTAATTTGCCATTAAAAATATACCAAAGTAAGGGTATATTAGTTAGTTCTTTCTTTTACAAAAACACTCGTCCTTTTATAGTAGTATTTTGAGTTACCATTTTAGTTAGCACACCATTTAGACATAGAATATAATAAAACATTTGGACTGAATATTACATAAGATTATTTTGTAGATATTGTTTACAAGAATCAATTTGTTTTGGTGGACTTATGTGGAAAAGTTATTTTTTTTCCAATAGCTACTTAGCTAAGAGAATCATAACGATTTCTTCAAAGACCACCTCAATCTCCATCATTTTTAGTAAAATTTAGAATTATTTGAGTCATACTTTGGGCGTGTATCGTAATAGTTTTCAATGTTACGCCGTTATTTATTTAATTAAATATTAGTGATTACCAAAAAAAATAAGATTTGAAGAGTATTAGTGTATTACTAATTTGCCATTAAAATTAAGTCAAAATAAGGGTTTTTTAGGTAGTTCATTTGTTAATTAATAATATAAAATAAGATGGATATTACTCTATTACTAATTTGCCATTAAAAATATGTCAAAGTAAGGGTTTTTTAGACAGATCATTATTTTTACAAAATCACTCGTCCTTTTATAATAGTATAGATTATAGAGCTAAAAATTGTTTATTTATATTAAATCGATTTTACCAAATAGTTGGAAAACGTTTAAATTGGACCTGTAATTGGGAAAATATAAATTCTAATACCACCTTTGTGTTCTGAGAAGTTGCTATTTCTCCCTTGTGTAAAATGAAATGTGGCTTAAACTACTGAAAAAAAGCGCATATTGCAAATGGACTTCTACATCTTTAGTTAATTTTGAGATGATGAAGAATGCTAATAAACTTGTCTCTGAAACTTACGATGATATGATGTATGTCAAGACGTAAATGCTACTTTTAAAAAATTTGCTCAAATGAATTTCGCTGTCATATTTTTTTTAAGGCCAATTATTAAGTAATTTTCGCTGTATAGGTGGCAAAACTTGGAACGGGTAGTGATTTGCCATACAGAATTGCAGTGCATCCAGGAGGAGAAGGTTTGATCTGTTCATTTCCTAAAAGTTGCAAGTAAGTTCAGCCCCTGTTCTGCTGACAGATGTTTAATGGTATGCTTCTCGGCTTAGGGCCCTAGTATTTATGGCCCTAATAAGTTCTAACTAGATTTCATGTTTGTGCTTTTGTTGTAATTTCCTTCCTGTTGATGAGAGATGCTTTGCAAATTGTCTGCCTTTCAATTGATAATTAATAAATTATCATCGCTTTATGTAATCTGTTATATATTACAATTCTATCATGGAGCAGATCATGAGCTAAGAATTCACCCAAAAGTAAGTAGCCTAGATTCTAGGTTAGGTGCTTTCCATAGTTTTATGCAGTCAATTCACTTTGTTGTTTACTTGATTCTTTGTCATGAACTCGACATAATACCATATCTCTGGCATTGAGTAATAACTTTTCATTACCATGTAGATGGTATGAATGGGATTCAACCTCTAGCAAAGATGAGCATACTTTGAATCTGAAATCATCAGACAAAACCCTGGAGCAATTGGAAGATGTTGGACAACAATTAGCTATGACCTTCAATAGTGAGGGAAGTTCTCTTGCCGTTGGTGGTGAGGTAAAAGAATTATATATCAACATCATGCCATACAGTTCATTATAAAGTACACCTTAGCTGTGTACTAATTTTATTGATTAAGGACGGTCGTAATTGTCATGACAGCTTTGGTTTTGCTCTAAAAAGTTGTACAACTCATATAAGGTGTAGATGATGGTTGTAAAATTTTGCATTTGCTCTTTCTAGTGTTTCTTTAGTTACTGGTTCACTTTTCTGAGCTAAGTATGAAACTTAGGCATTAATTTGGAGAGTACATTTATGTGCAAATCTCAAATGAAGAGGAGAATATGATTGATCAGTGGTGCGGGTTTTTGTAAATGGCTGAGAATCCAGAATTATAGATTTCAGCTGATTCTCTTTTATGAAAGGAGAAAAAATGAAAACTCTAGAATGGCGATTTCCCAACTTCTCTTTTTTCGTCTTTTAAAATTTCAAACTAACATGACTATATTTATGAATAATATAGAGTCCGGAAATCTTGCATTGGTAGCACATGCATACATGGCCTTTTCTTTTTGTTTTTTCTTGCTATGTTTCTTTTGGAGTGGTTAACAAACATGATTGAATATGTGGCCTAGATCCCTGTATGGTTACCGTTCACAGAAGTTAAAATCTCTTATACAAATTAGTCTCCTATTTGCTATGTTTTGTTTTATCATCTCATGTTTGTGCAGCACAGGATGGAAAGTTACGGGTTTTTAAGTGGCCTTCCATGGAAAATACCCTCGACGAGGCCAATGTTCATGCTTCTGTGAAAGATTTAGATTTCAGGTTCACCAAAAAGTCAATACAGTTTACAACAACCACAATTACAATGTTATGCTAGGAATCAAGATTGTTTCAGAAGAATGACAATTCCATTTTTTTTTATTTATTTATTTATTTATTTTTTGTCTTGTGCAGTCCTGATGGGAAATTTCTCGTCTCTGTGGGAAGCGGCCCTGTAAGGATATGGAATATCTCAACATCAACATCCGTAGCTTCTCTACCAAAGCAAAATGTATTATTTTTTTCCCCTTTTAAACAGTTCTGTGCTAACAAATTTATTTACCTGTTGGACCATATTAATAGTCCCAATTTCTCTTAACTGCTCCAGGATGAGATATTCAGTTTTTGCCTGTTCTCACGTACAAGCAACACAGATCAGGTTCTGTATATGACAGCAATGGGGGGTTAGTATTTTCCAACTATACTATCTTTTTTCTTTTCTTTTCGTTCTTTTTTTTTTTTTTTTTTTTTTTTTT